GCACCCTTGCCTCCAGGTCATCAGCGACTCCAGCATTTTCCAGTCTCCTGTCTGGGTGGAACATCTCCCCACACCCACACCATCCACCTTGCCCTGGCTTCACCTAGGCTACTTTGAAAAGGTAGTGGTTTCCATGGAGATCCGTCTCTCTCTCTCTCTCTCTCTAATGACACGCCTTTTTTTGTATAACTCTGTTCTCTATAGAGTTGATTGTTTTTGGCACATGGCTCAATAAACTCATCCAACAATTAGAAAAGGGGGGAGGGATGGAAAATAAAGGAGACAGTAACTTTGGGGCAAGTAGTACACAGGAAGGGCCTCTGAGGTTGGGCCCCTCTCTGTCTCCTGTTGGCAGTGGGACAACACCTCAGGTAGGGAAGGGCCACCTGACCAGCTGACCATGAGTTCTGCGTGTGGATTTCTGAGAGTTCAGAATTGTAGGTGTTTCCTTCTATTCAAGCTGCATTCTTGCCCCATTTCTTTCTCCCTCTGAAATCTAAAGGTGCCCATCCACGGAGCCAAGAGGCCGTCTGAAGCAGGAGAGGCTAGCTTGGCCCCACTTGACTGTTGACTGGCCTTGTTTTGGGTCATTGTATGTGTTTGCTCTCTTTGTGTACCATCAAATACCTTCTGCACTGGGCGTACCCGTCGTAGGCCGTGTGAGATCACAGATGAAAAATGCAGTGAAAAACACTTTCGTGCCACAACACATCATGTAGGATTTTTGTATTAAGATGTGGATTTTTTTATTGTTTTTTTTTTTTTTTTTTTGCTTTTCCATACAGCCTGAAGTTGGGCAATGTGCACGTCTGTGTTTTTGTTTTCACTCTGGGTGGTTTATGAAGTCTGCTCATTAGGGCTCTGTCCTCCCCTCCCCTGGCCCCATCTTCTACCCCTTCATCCTTTTGGATGTGGCTCTTTCCCCAGCCACCTCCCAGCATCTTCTCTCCTTTGGGGAGATGAGGGGTGACCCCTTCCCTGAACGCACCTTCATCCAGAAAATCAGGGGCTTTCTGTGGCCCTTTTTCCCATGCCCTGGCCTCCAAGGCAAATAGATACTCATTGTGGTGGGAGGTCCTGACATGGAGGAGGCAGCAGAGATCTTTAAACACATACACACACACACACACACACACAATGTGCATGCACACACAATAAAGCTCCTTAGCTCTCTCTTTGTCTGGAGAGAAGAAATGGAAGTTATGCCATCTCCACAGGACCTCCTGGCCTTAGAAAAGCCTTCTCTCAGGTGACTGCTTTATCTGTGGATGGCTCAACCCGTTCTTCCTCCAGGAGGTCATACCTAAGCTTGGGACCCCTTGACCAGGTAGACTCAGAGTTTCCTGCCTGCTCACCAGGTGTGTTACCTACCTGCAGCCCAGCTGGAATCACCACAAAGAGCCCAAGCCTGGGCAATGCCTTTTCCTTTCGTCTGGTTGTGATCTTCAAGTGCTTTCTGGCAACTCTAGGGGATCTGACAGAGACTGGTGTTGAGGGCAGGAGAGCTGAGATTCACAAGGGGCAATTGTACAGGGTGTGGGTGGTTGATGAGATCATGGGTCAGAGAGGAGGAGGGGCTTTTACATGAAGTGGGCCTAGGAATCCATCAGCCCCACGTCCCGGCCTCATTCCAGCCTCTACCAGCACGTCACTGGTATCACTGTGCCTGGCCCCTTAATCTGTAAATGGGGGCCATAATCTTCCCTATCTTGGAGTGTTGTGAAGGTTCAGCGAGCTCACACAGTTACAGCACTCAGCTTGGTGCTTGGCAAGTAGGAGGCATTCAGTCGTTGATAATTAATGTTATTCATTCTTACGTAGGCCTTGTTGGCATTGCCTCCCGCTCCCAACATGCTTCTTGCACATAGTAGGACCTCCATCCATTTTCAGTGGAATCATTTCGAGGAGGATCAAGTGACCAAATAGTCCCATTGAACCTGCACATTACTAATTCATGTCGCTAACAGAGGAGGGGGGAGACCATGATGCAGGTCGCAGCTTGGGAAACCGAACGGAACGGAGTGTGAGGATCGGGAAAGGAATGTCTGTTGGAGGAACGAGAGGACACTGCGCCGGGCTCATCTCTTGACTCTGACACGAAATCTGGGACTGGTTCATTACTGTAAACACTTACCGCTGCCCACTGGGGGCCAGGTGGTATGCTAAGTGCTGGGGACCCAGAGATAATTAAACCTTGTTCCTGCCCTTTGAGACGTTAAAAATTCAGCAGTAGAGACAGACCTGTGAACAAATTACTGTAGTCCAGTGTGAGGAAGGAGGCATGTGGAGAAGAGTAGAGGGGCCGGTGGACCCTCTTGGGAAAGATTCTAGATGGTTACCTTGAAGAGACTCAGAAGGGGGTGGTGACAGTTGAGGGCATTTCGGAGCACTTGTTTAAAATACCCTTCCACAGCTCCACCTCCTTTGAGGTAGGAGGGAAGGAGTTATCATTATCTCCATTTGCCCAGTGAGGAAATAGAGCCTTGAGGAGGTTGGGTGGCTTGTCCAAGGGCCTATGGCAAACTGAGGCCAAATGACAAAACTTGGGCACAGACCCATGTCTTCTGATTCTCAGCCCAGTGTCACCTTGTAACCCCACATGGCTTCTCACCTCTTTGCCCCCAAAGCTGCCAGTCAGAGAAATCTGCCCTCTGGGCTTTGCACCTCCAGACTGGGATTGGTGCATTGCCAGGGCCCGTGGGTTCTATGCTGTGGGAGGGCCCCAGTCCATGAAGGCCTGAGGCCTGTGCTCTGGTTTGGTAAATGGGTCAGGCCACTTGGTTGGGGACAGTCCAGGAGGAAGGCCGCATGCCCTGGCAGGGCTGGGGGATGGCAGGAATGGGGAAGGCTGAGGAGGAGGCCTGGCCACACCCTTCATTCAATTGTTCTTGGTGCCAAAGCTGAAGAACTACCTGTACCCGGGTCAGGCCCCTCTCTCAGCTCAGTGGGCCAGACAAAGGGCACCGCCAGGGTCTAGAGCACACCCTGCCACTGTAAATGGAACCCGCTTCTGACCAGGACCTAACACACTGGTATCCTCCACCAGTTGTGTGTGGTCAGACTCCTGCTTTCTAGCTCCTTGCCAGGAGTCAGGAAGGTGGTGGTGTTTCCTTGACCTTGGCCCTGGGGAAATGTGTATGTCCCTTTGCAAAGCTGGAAAGGGTGGAGTATTGGCCTTAAGTAAGATACTGGCTTTTGGGTGAGTCAGGGGCCTTTCTAATAGAATATTGAAGTACAGACCCCAACCGAAGAATGTTCTGGGGGCAGGGGGCTCGGGGTGGTCCTGAGGCATCCCTTCCTCTAGCTCAGAGATTGTTTGTTGGTGGGTGGACTGCACAAGGTCTCAGAAGATTCTGGACTGGCCGGCAGGGAGTGTCAGAGCCCAGAGGAGTGAGACTCCCAATGGCCCTGAAGTTCCCATTAAAGTGTTTTTTCCTCTTTTTTAAAGAAAAAAAATATTCCCAAACTGGAAAACAAAGGAAATCCACTTCCCCCAAATCACACGAAACTCACATTAGGGGCCTGGCAGGAATCCATGGAAACCAGGAAACCTGCAGTTAACCCTGTATGGTGCTACAGGGTGAGGTGGGAGCAGGGCCGATCCAAACCCCTTTCCAGGGACTACTGTCACCTTCTATCCTGCATGGCATCCCCAGGGAGCTGGTCTCGGTGGCATTGCCCCACAGCAGAGGTGGGGGGTTGACATGATGCTCGGAGCCCTTTTCTGTAAAGCCAACTCCCCCTTGGGCTCACACCCAACCTTGGGCAGCAGGAGAGGAGGATTCGTGTGCTTCAGGGAGGCCCAGGGGCCTTAGAGGGCTGGGCCATGTTGGAGAACCTGCCAGGCAGCTGCCCACACCATACCACACAGTGGAGTCAGGGATGATCCGCTCACACACACGGAACACTCCACCACTGTGGATGCTGCTGCAGTCCCAGCAAAGGGGAAAGGAAAAGACCGGAATTTCAGCCGCCATCTTCCCCGGTGCAGGGTGGGTGTGAGAGCGACCGGGGCTCTCTGGGCTCCCTGCACGCACTCCCATCTTCCCACAATCTCAGGCTCTGGATCTGGAAGGCTGTATGTGAGATTAGGGGGTGTATTTGTGTTTGCACGCACACGTGCCATTTTTCTAAAAAGGCTGAAAATATTTACAGGTTTGACGTTGAAACGCAAACAGGAAAAGCCCTTTAAAAAGTGAGTGTAGTGGATATTCAAAACAGGAATCACCATGGAAACACACCACAATATTTGCTTAAATTGACACAAAGATTGCCAGGAACAGGGCACCAACTTTCTTTGGCCACGTTTTTGGGCCCAACACCTCTGGCAGATGCATGTCAGCAGCCCCTTTCTAGGGCGCATATGAGTGGACTCTTCTTTTTAATAACATGAAATCACACAGCTCTCAAATGGAGAGAGGAGAAGGAAAAGAGAGGAAACCAAACCCACCCAACAGTGCAATGACACCTGTTGATTCCATTTTTAGAGACTCCCATAAGGCCACTGGGAGGTCATGGGAGCAGCTGGGAGTGGCTGAGAGGATGTCTGGAGTGAGTGGGGGGCTGGGGAGACCCACGGTCGGTCGGTTCTGCTGCCTGGGTTTCTGATCTGGTTCCTGTGCTGACTTGCTCCCTTGTCAGATGACCTTTCACCCTGGGTGCCAAACTTTGCGTGTGATCACTTTGTTGTTACGTAGGGTGACACATGACTGGCCTATTTTTGTTCCTACCTGCTGGATTCTTTCATTAGGTGCTACAGCCTTGCAGGAATTAGCTAATAATTGTGCTAAGGGTGTGTCGGGTGCAGGGTCAGCCAACAAACCACTACAACGATGCCACCTGCTGATTAGCATTTGGGGTCCAAGAGCCTTTGAACTTGTGGACGGTTTAAGTACCGCACCAGGTGTAGGGCCCTTCCCCTTCATTGCCCTCCTGCATGGGCCAGCTTTATGGATGCCATTTGTAGCCTCATCTTCTGTTCCCCTTTCTCATTTGGGTAGGCAGACAGACCTCCCAGATTGAAGGCAACTCTCCGTCCACCAGTCCTGCCAGCTGCCGCGGCCATCCACCCCTCCTTGACAAGGGGACCCTGCCACACTCCAGCAGTGCACGTGGGCATGGACTTTGAACCTCAGCCTCTTGGAATGCAAAGGTAGCTGTTCTGGGAAGTGTGGGTGGATGGGAGGCATGCTTGGCCAGTTTGGGGGTGCTCCTTAAGTGAGGACAGTGTGGGTCCTGGATTCACCTTTCCTCGTGGGTTCTGGCCTGGCTGGTAGCTTGAGCATCACAAGCCAAAGTGAAAAAAATAGAGAGGGGGTCAAGAAAAGGGGCCTCTGGCTTGGAGCTAAGACACTTGTATTTTGTCCTGGCTTTGCCATCATCTCACTGCTGGTGCCCTCTCTGGGTCTCGGTTTTCCCACCTGCAAGATAGAGCTTAGAAGCACTGACCTGTAAGAGCCCACCCAGTATTGCCATGGTTCCACATGTAATGCCCTCTGTGGTGGGTATGCAAGGGTTTCAACTGAGGCCCGTGTCTCTCAAAGCCCCCTGAATCTAAGCATCAAGTCATTTAAACGTCATCTTCGAGAATGGTAGGTCCATCCCATGTGTGTGTCCGGAGGCTGCTGCCCAACTCTGAGCTCATCTGTGGCTGGAACAGGCCTGGAGATGACTTGTTGGGGCTCTTCAGGCAGGAAAAGGCTAGAGATGGCTAGTACATGGGTGGTGGTGTCAGATACTAACCTGCAGGTATCAAACATGGCAGGCTTTGGGCCGGTGAGGTGACACACAGCAGGTGACTCACCACATAGTGGTCATTACTTAGTATTCTCTTGAGATCCTGAGGGAACCAGCTCAGAGAGGTTGGTATTGGTAAATACGTTGGTAGGCAAGGTCTTGGGTAGAGGCCAAGGCTGAGGGCCTGGAGCTTGGTTGAGGACGGTAAGGCTGGAGTCGACATCCCTGGCTCGCTCACCTGCCCTCTCCCTTGCCATAGCACCATGAGCAGGCATGTCCTGCCCCTCCCTCGGAGGCCAGGCTCTGCGACTCTGGACTTAGAGCTTGTGAGGAGAAACCACTTACAGAGGTGGGTACCTTGGTGCCCACGGGGGCTTGTGAGGTTGGCAAAGCTGTAGGCTGCTTCGTTACAAGTCATGCCACCTCAGGAACCACCCTCACCAATGAGAGCCCGGATATAACCTAGGGATTTACAAATCTGATGCAAATGTGGCCTTTGATGGCTACCGTGGGGCTGGCTGAGACATCTTCCTGATGTCCTGAATGCTTCAGAAATCAGTCCGTCCACACTTAAGATGGGCCGCTGTTGTCCCCTAAGTAGCAGTGGGTCTGTAAGGATGGTGGCCTGAAAAAGGATAAGTTGGGTGGAACAGAAGTCTTGCTTGCTTTTGGTGCTGGCTTCTCTCCCTCTTTGCTGCCTTCCTGGGCCCTTCTTGCCTGGCTCTGCTTCCTTTGATGGCCATATGTTCTGGAAGCAAACCCAAGCGTCTTGGAGCCTCTGGATGGACCTCCTGAACCCGTCCTATGCCCTGCCTGTGAGCAGGCTGCCTGGTGCCTGCAGAGCCCCCTTCTGCATGTTTGCCTCTTCTGTTCTTAGTGGCAGACTTTGTGTTTTCTTCTTTCTCCGGGCAAAACATGCCCATTAGTTTTTCCCTTTCTGAAGTTTCCACTCACTGTTGGTTCCCAGGGGCCGTGTCGGCTGGGCTTTGTGCCTGGCATTCGGTGTGGGCTCCCGGGTCCACAGGGACTTCCACATCTTGGCATTGGCTGGCTTGAGCTTGGTGATGAAGCTCTGGAACTCTGAGGGCTCCAGGAGGGAATGTCGTGCTGAGGCACCCCCCTCACCCACTCGGCCTTTTCCAGGTACTGGGTGTGTCCACAGGTGGGGGCTCCTGTGGCAGGTGTCACAGAGTTTCAGGTCCCGCCTCCCAGAGTCCATGCTGGGTCTGCTCCACAGGCTTTCCATGCCCTAGAGTCTCCTTCATTGTGACCACTCTGTGCAATGTAAGGTGCAATGAGAAGCAATGTAAGGTTTTGCCCATGAGAGGTGGCTCAGTGGCTGTGATGTGCTCTGTGGGGGATCTGGGTGCATTTATTCAACAGTGACAGAGGCTTGGTGCCTGTCTATCATCAGCGATGGTGTAGACAAGACAGCCCCTACTTTCATGGAGTTCTGGGATGTGGGGCAGACAATAAACAAACCCCCACAGATAGGCTGTGTGGAGAATTACAATTGGAGAGGTGATGGCGAGTGGCTGAGTGGCTCTGTAGATGCATGGTCAGGGGAACCCTCCGAGAAGGTGACATTTAGCTGAGACTGGAAGTCAGAAAGAGACAGCCATCTGAAGATGAGGGGAAAGAAGATTCCAGGCAAAGAGTGCAACTAGTTTTAAGGCCCTAAGGAGGGAATGAACTCCATATAGTCAATGACCAGAAAGATGAGCAGGTGGCCATGAGATAGATAGGGGCCAGGGCCCAGGGGCCAAGGGCCAGTGTATGCCAAGGAAGAAGCTGGGATTTTATTCTTTGGGTAATGGGAAGCCACTAGAAGATTTAAGCAGGGAGTATAATGTGATCTGATTTTTATGTTTAAAAGATCACTAGTGGAAACAACCCAAGTGTCCATCAACAGATGAGTGGATAAATACAATGTGGTATATATATCAATGGAATATTATTGAGCCATAAAAAAGGAATGAAGTTGTGATACATGTTATAAGCTGAATGAACCTTAAAAACTTCATGTTGAATGAAATAAACCAGATGCAAAAGGACAAGTGCTGTGTGGTCCCACTTACATGAAATATCTAGAATAGGCAAATGCAGAAAGACAGAAAGTAAGAAAGTAAGAGCAGAGGTGGCCACAGGCTAGGAAGGGGGCAATGGGGAGTTATTGTTTAATTAATAGGGACGAGTTTCTGTTTGGGATGATTCAAAAGTTCTGGAAATAGATGCAATGATGATTGCACAACACAGTGAGTGTACCTAATGACGCAGAATTACACACTTAGAAATGGGTAAAATGGCAAATTTTATGTTACGTGTATTTTTACCACAATTAAAAAGCATCACTGGGGGTTGCTGAGTGGAAGACAATGGATTGCAGGTAGTGCACAAGAGAGGCAACTGAGGGGTCAGAGGGTTGCTTGCTGCTCAGCTGCTGGATGAGATGATGGGCCTGGCCTGGGAGGAGGCAGGAATGGAGAGATGCGGGCAGTTCCTGGTGGAAGTGGAGAGGCCCGGGTGTGCTTTCTTGGAAGACAGGCCTGGAGATGGACTTCTGAAAAACGGACCATTGAAAACCTTGTGGAGCATAGTTCTACTCTCAGGTGGGGACACCATGAGTGGGTTGGATTCCATGATTCCATGGCAACTTTTTTTTTTTTGTCTTGTTTTGGGTATGCTTTAGAGGAAGAGTTAACAGGACTTGCTGATAGGTTGGCGGGGCCAAAAAGTGGCCCCCAGGAGGACTCCAGGCATTACAAGCCTTCTGAAAGGTCATCCTGTATCTTCTATCCTGCCTCACCTTACCCGACAGTACCAGGCACTGCCCTGGGCACAATGCAGGCTCCTGAATGGGTCTATGCCTCTTGGTCTACGTCTTGTCAGGGGATGACTCAGCTTATATCTGGCACCGTTTTCCATAGTCAACAGTGGAGCAGCCCAGGACTGCCAGGCTCCCTGTCCTCTAGGCCCTAGGTCTGTGCCTGGAAGCATGTTTTGCACTCATGTTTTGTAGGCTCTGTGCTGGGTCTGAGGTTGGACCTAGAAATGTACATAGTTTCTCTCCCTGTGGCTTTAAATGCAATCAATGTGTTCAAGACTGAGTTTTTGTGTATTTCTTCCCATGCAACCTGCCTGGCCCAGAGTCTTAGTTAACTAGTTTCGAGAAATGAAAAATGGATTTGTCTCTGACCTTCTAGTTTCCGCGGGGCCAGCCTAGCCACCAGCCTGACCCAGCAGCAGGGATCCTGGCAGTCTTTCCACGTGGATTGGAGTGATGTGAATTATCATGGATCCCCAGTCAGACTTGAACCTGGGCCACTGTACCCTTCTTCAAGGCCTCTGATATGAGGCTTCACTCTTGTGGTTCCTAAGATCACCTGGATGAGGCCTCATCCCACCAGCGATGTCGTAACCTCCACACAAGCCCTGTGCAGCCCTGCGCACCGTTATGTAGCCCAGGGGTCTTGCTACAGCAAGTGTGAAGCTGTCACAGCCAGCTGCTGGGGCCCCAGTGAGCACTTACCCATACTGGCAACATATTCTCAGCCATATGGGCCAGCTCAGCCATCCTGGAAAGCTCTGGAGGCCTGGCCTCAAAGGGCAGCGACAGGAAGGGGCAGAAGGATGAGCTGGTGACATCTTTTGAACATGACGGGATGTCCCAAGTGTGCAGCTGGTGCCTCTGCCTTGCTCCGAGGGAGTGTCTTTGACATTGAACACCGAGCTGCACCCAGGGGTAGGGTGTGTCTGGGTGGGCAGGCGGGTGCGTCTGTGCATGCGTGTGAGGTGCTCCTGCTTTCTGCCTCCACGGTCTGCACTAGATCAATGACCTTCACTCCTAACTGGACTGGACAGTTCTAACTCCATCCTCTCGGGCTTTGATCTGATGGGGGAGGTTGGCCGCTCCAGGGCTCACAGCTGGGATGGAGATCAAGAGAGGGAGGTGCTGGCTGAATGGGAGTGGAGCCCAAGCGTCCTGCCACCCCTGGGTGAAGTGATGCTCGGAGGATATGTGGACTCCAAAGTCGCTGCCCCTTTGGAATGGATGAGACGGGACTGGACATCTTTCTGGTTTCTGGTCTATGCACAAAATTCTACCTGGTATTGCTGCCCTGGGGCCCCTGCCACAGGCCTCCATCCTTGGGACTCTTTTGTGTCACCTGTCTTCCCAACAACATCAGGAAGCCCCTGGGTTGCAGCATCGAATACAGATCCAAGGGAAGAAGGATTAGAACAGGCTTGCAATGCCTGCCCTTCTAGAATTGTTGTTGCTAGATGCCATCAGGCTGATTCTGACGCATAGTGACCCCGTGTGATGGTTTTCTTGCTCCATGGGGTTGGCTTGACTGTAGTCTTTATGGAAACAACAGATTGCCAGGTGTTTCTCCTGCAGAGCTATCGGGTGGTTTCAAACTGCTAATCTTTCAGTTAGCAGGGCAAGCACTCAATCATTGTGCTACCAGGGCTCCTCCTTCTAGAACTATCTGGAGGCTTCTCCTCACCTGGTGATGATGCAATTGTTCCAAAGGGTAAATGACTCATGGCTTTCAGAGGATTTCAAGGTTCAATATGTTTTGTGGACCCTTCTGTCCTGCCTCAGTCCCTGTGGCCTCTGAGCAGCCATGGCAAGAAAATGCTGGCTCTGTGGAGAAGCAATGTAAGGTTTACCCATGAGAGGTGGCTCAGTGGCTGTGATGTGCTCTTTTCCTGCAGACCTAGAGCCGCCTCCTGTTCTGTCTCCTACTAGCCACCCCTGGCCACTTTCTTTCTGGAATCTGCCCAGAGAGTAGACCTGAGCCAGGTGAAAGTCCTGAAGCCCAGTGGGCACCACACTGAAGTAGGAGGCAGCCCATGGGCCCTTGCAGCTCCACCTCCCCAGAACCTGGGGTGGCCACCTGTGTCAGTCATCCTGTCACACCACGTGCCGCTTGTCCTCTGTGAACAAGGCCTGAGATGCTAACCACTCGGGTTTCTCTCCGGTCAGTCCCTTGGCCTCCGTTCTCACTGTCCTCTCTCGGGAGCAAAGCACTCTGGCCCTGAGCCTTCTTATGGTAGCATGGGGTTGGGACCCCTGTGGCCAAGGGGGCTGAGAGGAGGGATGTGTAATTAATCATTAGTTTCTTCTCCAGAAATGCTAATCAGAAAAAGCAATTAAAAGCAACTTTTTTTTTTCCCTTAGTAATCTGTGTTAAGAGCTGGTAATGAAGTTTAGGGCCGTTGTGACTCAATATTTCAGCTTCAGCGACTCAAGTCAAAACAATCCAAGCCCAGGAGTTTGCCGGCAGCAGAGCTGGGCCCAGACAGCAGCTGTGAGCCCCGTCTGTTCCCTCACGTCACCACTGTTCCACTCTGCGAGGCTCCCCAGGTGGGGAAAAGAGCAGTCCCAGGTGGCAGTAGAGAGTCTGGGTAACACTGAGGTGGGTCCCCTAGGACACCACTGGAAAACCCGGAACCTAGAAATGCTTTTTCGGGAAAATATCCTTAGGGCCAGGGTAGGTGAAGAAATAGGAACAAGTGGCATCAGTTGGGTCAGGTGAGAGGAGATGAGTGACTTAAGGTGGGTCAGGGCATAGCCATATGGGGCTTAGCAGAGGTGTTAGTCCTCAAATCTTGACCTCTAACCTCTAGTCGCTAATTTTCCATTCATCTACCAAGCATTATTGACAGACTGCTACATAGGAGTCATTGTAGATAGATAGATAGACAGACAGACAGACCACTCACTAACTCACTGCCGTCGAGTCGATCCTGACTCACAGCGACCCCTCCTTGGGTTTTCGAGGTGGTATCTCTATGGAAGTAGATTGCCCAGTCTTCCTTCTGAGGAGTGGTTGGTGGGTTTGAACCACCAGCCTTTTGGTTAGTAGTCAAATGCCTTAAGCACATACAGCTTCAACTCTTGGCGACCTTATGTACAGCAGAACGAAACATTGCCTGGTCCTGTATCTTCCATACGATCACTAGCATGTTCAAGTCCATCATTTCAGCTGTTGTGCTGATCCATCTCACCCTCACCCTCACTGGCCCCTCTGCTTCACAAATGACATCCTCCTCTAGCGATTGATCCCTCCTGATGATGTGTTCAAAGCAGGCGATTCAGAAGCTGTTCTGTTGTGACCCATAAGGTTTGCTTTGGCTAATTTTCAGAAGTAGATAGGCAGGCCTTTCTTCCTGGTCTGTCTTAGTCTGGAAGCTCCACTGAAACCTATCTTTCATGGGTAACTCTGCTGGCATTTGAAATATCAGTGGTGTAGCTTCCAGCCATCACAGTAAGACAAGCTGACAGATAGACCTGTCGTTGTAGGCCCTGGAAATGCAGCAATGCCCTAAAGATACAAAAAGTCCCGCCCTTGTGCAGTTGACATTTAGTGGAAGGAGGCAAATGATGAATGAGACAAATAAATAAATAAATAGATGCTCGGTGGCAACTTGTGTAAAGGAGAAAATGAATGCAAGTTTGGAGAACAGGAAGTGTGTATGTGGGGTGTGGGGAAATGGTTTGTAATTTTAAGTGTTCTGTGAAGATGTCACTGAGATGGTGACATTCAGGTAAAGACGGAAAGGAGATGAGGGAGCAATCTCACCCTGAGATCTGGAAGGGCATTCCTGTTGGGGGAACAGCAGATGTGAGAGCCCAGAGGCAGCAAAGAGGCGGGGTGACTGAAGTGGGTTGTGAGAGGGGAGATGGTATATGCGGTCAAGCGGGATCAGGATGGGGAGACCCACAGCTCCCGTCAAACTTGTAGGTAGGCCATGATGAAAAATTCCCATTTTTTGAATGAAATAAACTTTTTGAAGAATTCTGAGTGACATGATCTGATTAAGCGCAGCTCTGTATTCACACACAAGACCAGACTGTCTCTGACTTCTCTCCTGGGTGCCATGTTGTTGTCATTATTATTGTGAGTTGCTGTCAAGTCAGCCCGCAGCTCCTGTGACCTTACGCACAATGGAACGAAATACTGCTGGTCCTGTGCCAGCCCCGTGATCAGTTGTGATCCACAGGGTTTTCGTCGGCTGATTTTTGGAGGTAGATTGCCAGGTCTTTCTTCCTAGTCCACCTTAGTCTGGAAGCTCCATTAAAACCTGTTGAACAACATAGCAACATGCAAACCTCCCACTGATAGATGGTTAGTGGCTGCATTTGAGGTGCATTGGCTGGGAATTGAACCCAGGTCTTCTGCATGAGAAGCAGAAATCCTACCACTGAACCACCACTTCCTCCACCCTGGGCCACGTCAACACCCAAACCTACCTGCATTTGCACTCAGCTCTCCCTCAGTGGCTGTGCTCACTAGACTTTGAATCATGGGGCAGGCAGGAATAGAGCTGAGGGGTCTGTTTAGAAATTGCCCTGCACCAGCCTCAGCCTCGGCGCCCCAACCCTACCTTGGGGGGCAGTTCAAAAACAGGGTTTTGTCCCTTTAAGCAGCCCCTCCTGGTGGCCCTGGCCTGCTTTATCTGAAGTCCAACCGCATGTTGTTCCAGGACCAATCCTCTTTAGCTAATTAATAATCTGACAGGAGCCACCCAGGGGATTAGCCGCTGAGCTGAGCTCCACCAAGCCCCAGCAAATGAGCCCTGTGCTCCTCAGGGATGTGGAGGTGACTTTGAGGGGCGCAGGGAGCAGGGACCCCACAGGTGAGCCTTGGAGTTGGGCAGTGTGGTAGTGACCAGTGAGGAGCAAGGGCAGGTAGGGAGACAGCTCTGGAAAGAGCCTCCTGAAAAGTCCCAACACCAGTGGGACAGCAATGTCCCTTACTGCCCTCACAGTCCTGCACCACCCTCCAGAAACCCTTACCCATCCGCCAGGTGTGACTGCTGGGCTAGGATTGCCAGATTAAGCAAATAAAAGTACAATACACCCAGAGGAGTTTGAATTTCAGATAAACAACCAATAATATTTAGTGTAAGCATATGCCATGCAATAGGTGGGACATATACTGAAAAATATTATCATTTATTTGAAATTCAAATTTAGCTGGATGTCCTGTATTTTCTCTGGGAACCCTAAGTGGGATGGGCCAGAGATTTTGGGACTTCCTGCCAAGGGGAGCCTGGGGCTTCCTCTGGAAGAGGAAGCACTCCTTGGGATACTGCCTAGAGACTTTGGGAGCAGGGCAGGGCTGGGGTCATTGTCCTCCTCTGCCTTGGTGCAGGGACAGGAGGATGGGGACAGAGGTTCGTTGTTTGCTCAAGGGTCTCAACCTATATTCAGGCTCAGCTGGCCCTTGGAGAGAGGAATCAAAGTCCCCTCTGAGTGGTCTGTGGCCCCTGAGCTGGGGAGCAATGCCTTAGGGTCACCTCCCTTCAGTGAGACTGGGGTCAAGGAATAGTATGTCCTCTCCTAGGGGGATGGCACCTGATACTCCTTGGGTAACTTTGACACATATGGGTCACCATGAGCGAGAATTGACCCCATGGCAGCTGGTTTAGTTTTTGGTTTTAGTTGTTAGCCAAGGGCGTTTGTTCTGAGCCCAGAGAGAAGGCTGCAGGAATGACCCCTCCTCACAGGAGGATAGGCACACACGGTCAGTGGGGACAGCCTGCTGTGTAGGACGACCTCTGTGTCCCAAGGCTCTGGACACTGAACAGAAATTCCCATGTGCTGATCTCTGAGCTACTGAGTGGCCCCAGGCCAGCTTCTCAAGGAGGGTGCCACATGCAACAGGGCTGGGGTGCCATTGTTGGGGGAGGAGCCATGGTCTTGGTGGGAAATTGAGTGGAGTCCCTTACCACTCCCTCTCACTCTGGTTCCCGTCACAGTGGCCAGGGAGCTCAGAGCAGTGAGGGGCTGAGGGGCCAGGACCAGCCTCCTATAGCCCAGGAGCTTGAGCCAGGTGGGTGCTGGCCCCTGAGGTGGTTGCTCCCAGGCTCCCCTCTATTTTGTTAAAAAATTAATCAAAGCACAAAGAAATTAAAACATAGGGTTTATTTGAGTAGTTATTCTATATGCATATAGGGAGGCTATTCTGATTAAAAAAAAAAAAATGTGACTCCACATAGGCTATTTACAGTGACGTTTACAAAGAGAAGAGGAGGGAGAGGAATAGAAAATCAACTGCTGGCGAATCCTAATGTGATTGATTGAACCCGGGGCCGTGTTCCTGAGATCAGCCGACATCAGGCTACTGAGTGGTCTCTGGCCTGCCCCCCTCCCCTACCACTCATTTGCACAAATCCTGAGGTTTATAAGATGAAGACGGGTACTTCATTTCTCAGGAAGCGAGGGAAATTACCTAAAGTTACTTTTTTTTTTTTTTTTTTGCATGAGATAAACTCTGAACTAGTTTATGATTAACAGATGTGTTTGTCACAAATGGGCTTGCAAAAATGTAATAAATGTGTTAAACTGGGCCTCAGTTTCCCAGGGCCATTAAGTTGATTCTGACTCACAGTGACCCTATTGGACAGAACTGCTATAGAACTGCCCCATAAGGTTTTCAAGGCCGTAAATCTTTGCAGAAGCAAGCTGCCTCATCTTTCTCCCAAGAAGCGGCTGGTGTGTTCGAACCACTGACCTTTTGATTAGCGGCCAAATGACTTAACCACTGTGCTGCCAGAGCTCCTTCAGTTTCCTTAAGGACACTATTGTTAATATTCATTTTTATTATTGATACTTATTATTAATATTCCTTAAAGCTGGACAAAATGCTGCAAAGTGATTTGTTTTCTTCTAAAAATAAACAAGTTAAGAGTTCTACAAGTTTTTGGGTGGCTTTAATTATTAATTTTGGGCTTGTGGGTAAGAGCTGTTATTGTTGGGTGCTTTTGAGTCAAATAGCTTTTGAGTCAATTTCAGCTCCTAGTGACCCTGTGTGACAGAGTCAAACTGCCCCATAGGGCTTTCTTGGCTGTGATCTTTATAGAAGCAGAACATCAGATCTTTCTCCTGTGCAGTCGCTGGCTGAGTTCAAACCTCCAACCTTTCAGTTAGCAGCCGAGCACTTAGCCGTAGTGCCACCAGGGCTCCTTTTTGTGAGTAAGAGAAATCCCTTAAAATCGAAGTAAGGTGTCTGTTCCTGATTTTTATTTTCCCAGTTCTCTAGGAGTTCACAGCATGTGGGATTCGGATACCCCTCCTGTGCCCTCGGAGGCCTCCTCCCCCACTCCCTGGGCTGCCCCCCTCCAGCCAGCCTTTCCCAGCACAGCCTGCCGGTGAGCCCTGTGGTGGAAGCCAGGGGTGGGGGTGCCGCCTGGGGGAACCTCTTCCGTTTCCCGAGCTCTCGGTCTCTTCCCCAGCGTGCCCGGTGGTTTGGCCCTGTTTCGCGAGCAGTCTGCTGCCCGTGCTGCCTCTGACCGACATCGTTAGCGTGGGTATTTATATTTCATTAATGACATTAAGCCCAAATGGCATTAAAAGCAAAGCTGGTGATAAATAGCTTATTAATAAACAGGGAGTGTGCCGTGCTGGCTGGCCTCTCCCAGCCCCGGTGTTAACCCTTGCTGCCCTAGATAAATAGGCTTCTCTTCAAAGCACCCTCTTATGATGGGACAAGAAGAGCCATGAGTCTCTGTTCTCCCAGGTCTTTAGGGTCAGGGCACCTTGGATTCCATCCAGGCCAATTCTGGTCCCTCGGGCATGCAAACCCTGGCGGACTTCCTCCCTACCTCTCATCAAATCCTCCCCCTTTCCTTGTAGTTCTGGGTGAAAGAAGTTAGGAAATGTGGCTTTTGCTATCACTGGCCTTGTCTAGGCTGTGAGCTTAGATCTTCTCCCATCACTCGGTGGCTCTGTCTGCAAAGAGGCTCATAGATTATTTGGAATCAAAAAAGAAAGATGCTCAAGAACATGACAATAGTAATTGTGTCAATGACAGTCATACTCAATAATGTTTGCCAAGTGCTAACTGTGAGCCAGGTGTTTTTTGCTCATCACTCAACATGCAGCATCCCTAGAGGCCTCCCAGTAACTCCAGTGGTTGCCCAGCTCGACCCCATTTTGTAACTGGGAGAGCCACAAGGCTCAGAAGAGTGAAGCAGCTTCACCAGCTGGGGCCACAGTACACAGCTGCTGGGTGCCGGTGTCGAGTAATGCCACATCTGTGTCATCGCACAGCCCCCATTCTCCCACAGGACCTGTTGCAGAGGGGCCATCCCTAGCTTCTGGGCCTTGGACCTGCCAGGGCTTCTCAGAGCTGTGAGCTGAGCCTTTGTTCTTTTGAACTCCTTGCCCTTGGGACTCGGGCTGCTCAGTTACATCATGCACCTGTCTAGGTGAGCCAGCCTGTCACGCCTGTCACATCACAGACCACACTACTCCCTAGAATGTGGAGGTGCCAACGGAGGGCACACGAGGTTGCCCCTGGTGCCACGAAGATCCCAACCAGCCTCTGCTTTGGCTTGGAACAGTGTCTCTGTGGTACCCTCCTGGGTTGGGTGGGGTCTGGTCAGAATTGGGTGGTTTGGGATTTGAAGCTGGTGTTCCTTGAATGTATGGCCTGCCCTTAACACTTCCAGGAGCCCCTGGACAGTGCAAATGGCTAACATGTTTAGCTGTTAACCAAAAAATTGGTAGGTCAAGGCAGGTGCCTCGGCAGAAAAGCTTGACAACCTACTTCCAAAAAATGAGCCACCGAAAACCCTATGGAGCAAAATTCCACTCTGATACACAAGGGGTTGCGGTGAGTCGGAATTGACTCAACAGCAACTAGTAACATGCCAAGAACTGGGCTGACTCAGCCCTGGTTCTCCCCCACCCCAGCCCCCTCCCTGAATTGAAAGCAAGCAGAGAAACTGGGACCTTGTCTAAACTTTTGCTAAGGGTCACCACTTGAACTTCTCACCCAGGGTTCTCATCTTCCTCTCTGTCTGTGTGGGGCTGTCTGTGCTCAGACCTGCAGAAGGGAGAGAAGGGACTCTCTTGGGGGTTTTGCAGCAAAGAAGGGAACGATGCTGGGGGCAGGGGTGGACAGAGAGTAAAGGTGCCATGTGGTTCCACAGAAAGTCTGGGTGGGTGTAGCGGGCACGTCTCTGGGACCATCTGGTCATGTCTAGTAAGCACTCTGGGAGGATGGAGAGCTAATTAATTAGTAGACCTCCTGCTGCCTGCTCGAGGGGCCTGGCCCGCTGCTGCCTGCCCTGGGAAGGAAGTTGGGAAGCAATGGCCCTGGGGTTCCTTGTCCAAGAGGAAGTCTGCTTCTCACCCTGATGGATGGGAACCTGATCACCCCCCAAAGAGAAAAGCAAGCAAGAGGGAGCTGGTGGAGAGGCCTCCCAGA